TAGTTGCTTCGCCGTTTTAGGGGTGCCTGGCACGATCAAGACTGACAATGGCCCGGCCTACAGCAGTGGGACACTGAAGCACTTTATGCAATTATGGAATATTGTCCACCTCACTGGCATTCCCCATTCCCCCACCGGGCAGGCAGTAGTAGAAAGAGCCAATGGAACTCTAAAGCGTTACTTGGAGAAGTTTAAGGACATTGTAGACGCAAGAGAAAGGGTCCAAAAGGCTCTCTTTGTGCTTAATCATTTGTGTGTATTCGGGGACGGTAATGATCTACCTATAAAGATCTGCCTATTGTAAGGCATCATGCAGGATCTGAAACTCTCAAGCCACCACACATGAAAGTGTTGTATAAAGATGCAAAAACAAGACAATGGGTGGGTCCTGTGGAGGTGGTTTACGTAGGACATGGTTATGTCTGTGTTTCTACCACCACAGGTACCATTTGGATTCCCAGACGATGGGTGAGACCTGCTGTCAAACACACTGACAGCCACGGCCTCGCCTAATGACGACGAGGGACTCCACAGAAGGGCACTACTTTGCATCTGGCTATAGATCCGATAGTGCAACCGCTCATTTCTAAGATGGACATTCTTTAGCGAACTCGCCTTGTTAGTAACAGCTGTGGTTAAAGTTATGGTGTGCTGGGTTCTTTGGTCTGGATGCTCTGGGAAGCTGGATGGGGTTAAGTGGATGGCTTAAAAGTGTGTTACAAACAGGATTGTTGATCTTAATCATAATAGTGATAGTATTACTTTGCTTGAGCTGTGTGTTTTCTTGTATCAAAACTCTTTTTATGAGAATTGTTAATCAAGCTTATATCGCCCAAAATAAAAACAGGGGAATTGTGGGAGACTGGCTAGCTGAGAAGGGTCAGCTAGTCCAGCAAGAGCTCAATAAGCACCGTACTCAGCTTATCTAGCTGCCAACAACTGCAAGGACGCTCTGGCTTGAAGGCAGATGTGGTCCAACAACAGAACGTCTGTGATAAGGTAAACATGTAACCATAAGACAGGAATTTTGGGCAGAACTGTCTTTTTAGAACTAACCAATAATGAGCTCTCATTTTGCAATATGTATAAGCTAATTATGTGTGTGCATAAAAGAATGACAGTGTGTCTAAATAAACGAAGCTTGCTGATCACTCATATTGAGTGCTCATGTCTTCCCTCCGTCGCAACACATATTAACCTGGCATAAACCAGAAATACGTGGTCAGCTCTCTATCTGGATGGCTTTCTGTTTCAGAAATAAATGGAGCAGGTCTTTTTAACTGCCAGAAGTGCTTTTTAATATATTTTTCCAGCCCAAAAATACAACACACTAGGAGTATTTCTCCAGAAGTAGTATAATGATCTTAGCTGCTCTGTAGATTGCACATCCTGCAATCCACTTTGGTGTGTGAAAATGGGTTGCAGAAAGCACGTGGATACACTTCCTTACAGCATTAGATGATGAAATCACAGTGTTCTCCACAAGAGGTACTGCTTCCCAAGGCAGCCTGGATATTCTCACTGCCTGTTGGTGGGAACCCCCTGAACACAAGTTCCACCTCATAGGATGAATAAGGGAAAATCGCTCACTCTGGGATTAGATAACCACAATGAAGGCAATAGCTAAGTGTGCTCTTCACATTAAAGCAATGCCTTGCACTACCTCACACAAAGATGAACCACGCAGTTTCTCCCCAGCACAAGCTCAGATGTAGCCAGTGTTTAACCAAGGCCTCAAAAGCAGCTCAGGGGACAACAGTCCCTCCACTGCCCCTGTCCCCACAGGCTGGCAAAGCACTGTTCTCCTTCATCCCCACCACAGCATTGGGTTATGTGACCCTGGAAGGGTCTGGGAAGTCTGGGTCTTGGGCCCAGACTCAGCTGGAGGTTCTGATACAGTAACTTGGTACCAGCACAAAGCCACCACAAGAAAATTGATAGGAAAGTCTCCACCTATCTGTGTCCAGCACCCTTTGCACCCATTCAGGAAGGATCTTCTTCCACAACCACAATTCCATTCCCTATAAGACTGATGAAGGCAAAGCAGACGAGCATAACTAGATCTTTATGGGACCATGGGGGAAAGACATAGGGGAAAACAGGAGGACGAACGTCCAGTAACATGGAGTTAAAACATCTGAACCCCCCTTTCCTGCTGCCGTGCCTGACATTACACCCCTCAATTTCTCTGCAAGCAACTCACATGCTGTGGGGAAGATGGCAGATTCAGCAATCACAATCCTTAGATGAGCTTGTGCCCTTCCCCAAAAGAACGTCATGTGGAAACTGCAGATGGCAGTAAGATGGATGACTCCTAAACTGGGGATGCACAAATCGTTCTAGAAGGGGAAAAGACTGCTCACCCTCTCTTTAAGGGGATGGGGAAGTGTCAAGAAGGGGCATGACTACCCTCTTCCACCCAGGGGATGACATGTGAGCCAGGGACTTCAGAGAAACAGGGCCCAACACAGCCCAACCAAGGAGCTCTCAAGCCACAATGTCCTTCAGGGCTCCAGACAGGTCAGGGAAGATGAAATGGTAGCCACTCTCCAGGGTGTGCTTTGGGACCACCCTCTGGCCCTCCAACAGCATGATGGCCCGCTCTGCCCCAAAGACAGCCCGCACAGCCCAAGCAGGCACTGGCAGCAGTGCCGGGCGCCCCAGGGCTGCAGCAAGCTCCTGAGCAAAGGTGCCATTGGAGGTGGCAGGGGAGGATGGGGCAACACCATTGAGGACACCTTGCAGGTGCTCACTCTCCAGAGCGTGACAGATGATCCCAGCCAGGTCCCGAATGTGGATCCATGGGAAGGGCTGGAGCCCAGAGCCCAAAGGGCCTCCTAGTCCCAGACGGAAAGGCCAGAGCATTTGAGAGATTGCACCACCACCTCGGCCCAGCACTACTCCTGTGGGGAGAACAAAGTGAGACCAGCATTTTCCCCCCACCAAAGGACAAAAGCCCCCTTCACCCCAAGACCTACAACCAAGAAACAATCCTTAGAGGGCTGGACTGGAACAGCAGCCCAACAAGGAGAGGGACAAGACTTGATGTCCTTCTCCCTGCTCTTTCCTCTCTTGCCTCAGCACCAAAGCAGAGCCACCCTAAAAAGGTACAATGCCCCATCTCACCAGATCTCACCACAACACCACGAGCTGGGCTCCCAGGGGTAACAGCTGCAGCCTCCCAGGAGCTCACCAGGCGTGAGAAGAAGTCAAAATCCCCCCCCGGACTGTCCTCAGTATACTCAGCTGTGGGGCTAGGGCGATAATAGCCTGTGGGTGTAAAAGCAGAAAATGAGTCAGGGCTGAACCATAACAGCAGCCCCCCATCCCAGATGGGCCCTCCTCCCTGCCTCCAGGAGCCCAGAACTCGCCCATCAGGGACATCCTCATGCGAACAGCACAGGGTGTCTCTGCTGCCAATGCTGACAAGCTTTTGACCTACCAACATGTTCTGCAAGTTCACTGGGATGCATTAACACTCACATTGAGCTGGCAGCCCCAAGAACCAAATCCACCAGCAAGCAATGCACTGAGCTGGCTGCACGAAAGGTGCTTGCACTAAAATTGGGCATCAAAGATGCTAAACTGTGGCAGCTTTAAAGGCTGTAGCAAGCAGAAATGCAAAGCTGGAGATATGCAAAGGGATTTAGCTGAGGTCCTGCTTAGACAAACTGGTTCTACAGCATGCTTAAAGGCTTCCACAGGAAAACGGAGAAAAGGTCATGTCCTAATGACACCAAGAAAAAGCATAGGGACCCAGATTCCTCTCCAGCAGCACACAAAAGCTTATCAAGGCTTGCCTAAACTCATTGACACAGACAGCAGTAAAGCTGGCATTTCAAGACATGTGCCCCCCCCCCCGCCCCAGAAGTGTGCTTTTGACTGGAGGTATACCTCTCCAGGTCAGCATGAGTCATGCCTTGGCCAGGCCCAACCAATACCTACGCCGGTGACGAGGACCCAAGCACGGGGTGGCTGTTCAGCATCAGCAATGGCTTTGGCCAAGGTCTTGGTGGTCTCAACCCGGCTGCTGATGACTTCCCTGCAGAAGGCATCATTCCATCTGGGAAAGGTAGAGCCACTGATTATTCTCCCCACAGGGACATCCAAGGAAATAATATCCCCAAGGGAGGCTCCAGCAGACACCCATTCTGTGACAAGCACAGGAGAGGCCACATGAATTCCCCCACACATCCCAAAGCAGGGATGACATCTTACTACCTAAACGCATGTGGTCTTTGGGAGATTGCGTGTCCCCACTTCCCACAAGAGGCTGTGGGCTTTGGATTGCCTTAGGACAAAGGTAGCAGAGAAGCTGGACACCAAAGCTGGGTGTGGTGAGTTCTTCCTAAGCACCCAGCATAGGCATTCCCAAAAACACCCTCATAGAAATCAGACTTTGGTTCTGATTTTGCATTATCTAAATGTAGGCATCCAGTGTGATTTTGGCAACATGGAATTATACTACCTAGCCTGCAACTATCAATCCTGAAGGGAACCTGCCTTCCAAAGGCATCCAAGAACTTTACAGACCCACAGAAACGTTTTGGATACTTGAGGACCCAGATGTCATCAGTTATATACCCCAAGTACTTCCTGGACACCCTGTTTTCTCCCCAGAGCCCTTCCACATTCTCTGACAACACAGGGCTGTCTTGCCTACACCTTGTCCCAGCAGCACTATGGTAGATCAAGTTACCTGCGGAAAGGGTTGAGGACATTTTCACCAGCCAAGTTCACCACAGCATCACACAGGGGCAGTCCAGAGTGGGACAACTCTTCCTAGACAGGGGTAACAGAGACATCACACACCCAGCCGCCCCTCTGCTCAAGCCTTCCCAACAGCCAAGCAGGGTGCGCTCCTAAGGACTCCAGCCTTCCTGACACTGCCTGGAGCACAAGCATGAATGGAGAAAGTTTTGCTTCTTGAAGCTACAGCAGTACCCACCCCCGATGGCTATGGCCCATGGAGCACCCAGGAGTGCAAGAGTATGTCCACGGGAGCCAGATTCCCCATTGCAGAGCTCCTGTACGCCAAGGCAGGCCAGGGCAAGCGGGCTTGCCTCTCAGCCCTAACGTGTTCCTCCTCCAGTGTCCGACTCGTCTCATACCCAGCTGATCCGATCCTTGCCCCCTTCTCGGGAGACGTGGGTCACCTCATGCCCGTGGCTCCGCAGCAACTGGGTCAGGGCTCTGCCCACAAAGCCAGTCCCACCACCTAGGAGAAAGCCAAGCCATTACAGATGCGATACCCGCACTGGCCCCGAGGCCTGCACAGGCGGCACCGGTATCGCGGCCGGCTTCCCGCAGTGCGTTAGGCTGGGCCCAGCCCTGAGGGCCCCACAGGCCCCGCACCATGTCCCACCCCGAGCCCTGGGGGTGGGCTGACCGCAGCCGCCGTCCGCAGCACCCTCAATCCAGGTTCGCCCCCCGCACTTCCAAAACGACCTCCCCGCGGCGCCCGGGGCTCCCCTCGGGACCCGCGCCCACCCCTTCTCCCGGCAGCGCCCTGGGTGAAGCCCCCACCCGCACCAGCACCCCCGAGCGACACCGCACCCCGCCGCGGGCTGGGCTGGGCGCCCCATCCCCGCACTCACCCACCAGCACCCGCATGGCTGCGCCGCCTGCGCATGCGCCGTCCCTGCTGCCTGGCGCATGCGCCCTCCATCCCGCACCACGGCACATTAACCCCGGCAGCGCCGGACGGGGCGGCGGCGACCGCAGGGACGCGCAGGGAAAGGGGGGGAGGAAAAGGTTTTCATGCCGAGAGGGGAGAAGGCAGCTCGGAGGAATTCGTTAAGTCAATGAGTTAATCAGTTAGTTGAAGGAGGTGAAATAAAGGCCTGTGTTGTACGGTTGGTTTTTTGGGTTTGGGTGGGTTTTATTAACTATTTCTAATCAAAAATTAATAATTTTGCAGTTGGGAATTAGGCTGAGTTTGTTCTCACTGACCCTGAGCCTCCCTTCCCTCTGGACACCTTCTCACAACTCTCCTCAGGGTCATGGGAAAAGAAATTATTTGATGGATGTAATTCTGCTGCTGGAGTTCAGATGTCTCTTCTGAGATGCGATGAAGCTCCATTGAATGACAAGACTTTCCACCTGCAGGCACCCGGGGCAGCCTTTGCTTCACACAAACCTGCCTGTGTTGTCACTCGTTGATACCTCCTGTCCTGTGAAGAGCAGAGGGTGATACCAGCCTGTAGGCATGACCTCTATGCCTTGGTGGCTGTTCTGAAGCGGAGACAAATGCTGGAGATATTTCCACCCACCTGTATACAGTTCATTACACTTAGTCATCCATCCCTGTCTGCACCCATAGCCATGGCTCCACACGTCTGTCCATCTCTCCTCCTACCCCCATGCCCCACTCTGTGTGTTCTTATTCTGCCCTGCCACCAGCCGTGTCAAAGTGTTTGGCAAGTCCTGTGGTTAAGCAAGGAAAGAACTAGGTTTCTAGGAGGAGCCAGCTGGAAATCTAAGAGACTGGGAATTACTTGCACAGGAAAGGCCCTGTGGGTAACAGGATGGAAGGTGGTGATGAACAGAATCACAGAATCTTCTAGGTTGGAAGGGACCTTAAAGATCATCTTGTCCAACCGTCAACCTAACTGACAAAAATAGACACCCACACAACAAACAAGGAGCATCATCACTAAACCATACCTCCCAGCACTACATCAACCCATCTTTTGAACACCTCCAGGGATGGTGCCTCAACCACCTCCCTGGGCAGCCCATTCCAATGGCTGATAACCCTTTCAGTGAAAAAATTTTTCCTAATATCCAGCCTGAACCTCCCCTGGCGCAACTTGAGGCCATTTCCTCTTGTCCTGTTGCCTGTGACTTGAGAAAAGAGACTGACCCCCATCTCTCTACACCCTCCTTTCAGGTAG